TGAGTATTCGAGAAAAGCAATGAAAAGATGTTTGAAATTTGAAAGAAAAAAGGGAAGGAGCGTGAGCAAATTTGGGTACGTAAGACAACATAACTGGGAGTCATCCGTTTGCCGCTCCCAATCGAATTTTTGCACAATTCTCAGGCCCACCCAGGTGAAGAAACCAATAGAATATTCAAACAGGTGCAAATAAGAAAAAAGGTGCTAGTAAATGAAATGGTAAGGAAAGACATCGAAGAAAGCACACGGCCAAACTCCAAACCTGACCTCCCAGCATATGCTGAGCTCCCGGCATAATGAGTTGATCGAGTTTACTGTACCGTTGAGGCGAATCAATCAAAAACGGTAAACTTACCGGTCTCCATCTGTGTCGAACTCGCTGGTGCCAGTAAAAGGTGTGCGGGTCAATCACCGCACTTTCCGAATACTTCTGCAGCTCGAATAAGATTAGAATCAGTTTTATCATTGATCTAGGCAGGATGTGAAAATACATATGTGACCTGGAGAAAGTTATGCATTTTAAAATAATTTTACTTATGTTCCTAGTGCGCTCCCAGCCTAACGCCGCTACGCAGCCGCAGTCTATAGGGGACCTTTGAATTTTGTTAACTTGTGTGCCCACTATTTCAAAAACCAGAAGGGCGTCGAGTGCAGACCACACACCACAAGTGACGACGACCTCTAGTAAATCTGGTAGCATGTGATTCCAATTAGTGGCAGCTGATAGAACACAACTGCAACAGGCTAATCATTTCATTGGCAGAAAACATTACATTTTGTGAAGGCCGTCGTCACTTGTGGTGTGTGGTCTGCATCGACGCGCTTCTGGTTTTCTGAAAGAGAGAATATGTGTGCTGGTTCAGAGGTGGTCGTACCGGGACCCCTTATGAGGGGAGGAGTCATAGAGCTTTCAAAAAAGTGCGAATGCGACGATGGACCCTCAAGATTTGCACCCAGACCATGCAGCGTGGGGTGGGCGGAATCATCTGCCACTATCCCGTGTCGATAAGTGGAACCACATAAGTGAGTGTTCTCGTCACCGGCTGCTCCCATGAGAGATGTGAAATCCCTAGATGCAGCTGCTGTGTGGGATGGAATAGCTTGCGTGAAATGTGGAGCAGGAAATGGCGTCGCTGAAGCCTTCTTATCTTTTACATGCTCGTTGCGACACCAATATGTAACAGGAAAAGAATTCGCTTTTCTCATTCTACTCAATGGCACAGTATGAGATGGACGACCTCAGAATGCTCCTAGGTCTATGGGTGACTAAATGTATACCATAGGCCCCAGAGCGTTCAATTAATTCGATGTTTTCATTTGCTAAGGTATTTCGAAAAAATGGTCAGTCAACTTCTTCAGAAAACTAGTTACTAACTCAAGCATGCTAAAACCTATGCACGTCCATTAGTTGAAACAGGTATCGCTGTGTTCCACCCGATTAAGAAAAGAGAAGTTTACGCGATAGAAAAGGTGCAGAACAATTACACGCGTAAAGTTCTCTTACGGACCAAGAGCTTTCCCTATTCAAGAATCCCCAGAGCACCGATTAGAAATAAACAATTTGAATTATTTACACTTGAGTCAAGGCGTCAGGCATGGTTCATAAGTTGCTGTTTCCTTTACGTGGCTCTAGCTCAAATGATCTTTATCGAACAACTCTTTCTCGAACAAGAGGAGGAAGGTTCAAAATAATGTTAGCATGTCCTGAAACTAATTGGAGAGCCAATAGCTTCACATGCAGAGCGGCAAGTCCATATATAAAAGATATCTGCAAAACTACTCAAATATGAAGTTTCGTAGGATCTTGAAATTGACTTTCTTCCTGATCCTCCCTTTGTGATGTGATGAATTTTCCTTTGTCATTCAATTGAGATGCTGATGAGTTTTAATTGTATCATGAGTGATTTATTACGATTGTATTTCCCACGATTGCCTTATGCAACGTAATAAATAAATAAATAAATAAATAAAATAAATAAAAGCAGAAGTCAGGGTCTGCCGCAGTTCAGCGGGCATTCCCTGGAGATAGGGTCCTAGGAGGAATTAGGAAGGTTGGGGGCAGGGTGAATATCGGTCGAGGAAATCCTCGACAGGGGGTCGTATTTGTCAGGCTGGGTCATGGGGGGTCGTACTCTTGGGGGTCAGTAACAGCAGTGGTATCGTGGTGCAGATAGGAGAGGGTGTAGCGCAGCAGAAAACAAGGATATGTGAGAAAACATGATATAAAATATTCTTTGCAGGTTCAGTCGCTCCATTCCTCTACCTTCATGAGAAGGAAGTATTTGAAAGTATTACAAAGAGTGCAAGTGCATTTTTGTAAGGCACGATAGCTAACGTCCGCACCCATGCTTTTACTACCTCCTTCAGAACTTTTGTTAGGGACGCTGTTGCAGAACCTACAGCGTCCCTAGCAACAGTGTAGTTTTGGAAAGGTCGAGGGCAAATGAAGCTGTTCTTTAAGTTGGTAGGAGTTACGAAATGTGTTTACTACAATGCAGTTTCTGTCAACAGGTCATCATCATATGTATAACACCTTTCAATAGATTCTACAACTTGAGTGGAGGTCGGATGCATGGCCTATACTGAGACGAGATCGGACGATGACGATTGCCCTTTTCTTGTCGCTTACGTTGGGAGAATTTATTCTAGACACATTTCGAGCGTTGCCAACGAATTACTTGCAATGGTGAAGAAGGCTTTTTAGGTGGCCGAGATCCATCCTCGATAGATCCTCGACGCAAATATCTCCTCAACTAGAAAATGTAGAAGAAAGCTAAACATACTGTTAGAAAGCGCAAACCTTCCGCTTTCCAAAACTATCTTCCTTTTTCAAGATCTTGAAATTAGAGAGATATTGCCTTTTAAGTGGCAAAAACTCGCATGAAAAATTCAGCATCCTCGACGCTCCCTCGACAAAATTTGAGAGACCCTATCTCTTCGAGTGTAAAGCTTTTAGATCAATTTCAATATTGCCCGGTAGTAGCAAATCCAGCTCTATCTAACCCTACCACATACTGCTCCAAAGGTTATGAAATGGGGGAATGGAACCTTTTCATCGAGAGTGTAGATTTCGACGGTTTCGAGCGGGGTTTCGGCAAATCTGACCCACGGATAAACCGCGCTGCAACTGAATGCTTTGCTGTACATGGAATTCGCTTAAAGGCAAACCCCGGGATTGGCCCGACTAGTAGGAGGGATACCACTAGGGAAATTGTAAGGTCTGTACTACCTAGATCACTCCAGCTTCGTCGCAAAAATTGCGCGGTTAGGGCGCTAATCCTTACGGGCCTGCATCGCCCCAATTTCCAACGCTCCCCACCGAT